TTCATTTTCTAATGATATCTTGTGTTCTTTAATTGAAATGTGCATTGCTAACAGCGGAGCTATCTCAGCCGAGAGGCTGCTTTTTGTTATTTTCATGAACAATGTGGACTGATAGTCCATGAAGTTTTCCAGCTTAAAAAATAAATAGCCATGTACAGGTTTCGATGTTAATGAAAAACAAGACAATTCCCCACAACACAAATATTAAAGAATGAAAATCCATGGTTCATTCATTACACAGGCTTTTAAGTCTGTTGATAGTTTGAGCAATCTGACCATATTCTCTGGACCGAGGAGAATAAGTTTTTTATCTAGCTTTTATTGGTATTTAACAAGCTATATATCAGTACAAGGACATTTTGCCTTATTTAACAAATTAAAACCCAAATCCTTTAGTTTTTCTAATATATAAGACTTTTAAAGGAATGGTAATAGTTTTTATGTTCAGTTCTGAAAGACTTTTATGCTTTTTTGTCCTAAATTTATTGGTGATTTCTGAGATCAAAGGTGAAGGATGTGTTGCACATACCCCTTCTGTTTCTTCTTCAGCTGCTAGTCTTGCGTCTTCCATTTGCTGAACTTGTTCAGTCAACTCTTCAATTCTTATTCTCATCTTCTCCATAGTGATATAGTTATCTTCTTCATCTTCTTGTTCTTCTTCTTCATCATCATCGTCTATCTGCTTGTAATCATCTTCATGTTTGTTTTCCTGCCACTGACTCTCTTCATCTGAAGCTGAAGTAAAAAACACATTGGAAATTGTCAGAATGTTGGTGAAATCCTGGTGAAATTCTGCTGGTACGTTGAATATAAGTGGAAAGATTAAGAAGTATGCACTTATGTAAATGCCGGAGGTGTGTTTGTGGTCATAATAAGTCGTATTTTAATGATCTTGTGTTAATGCAATATCTGATTATGTGCGGTTTTATTAGAGATACACTTCTAATAAAGCAAATAGGGTAGATGGCAACATTTTACATAAATATATATGTCAGTTAATATGTCCTCATTGACATTTTTTTTATTGGTGAATATTATTTTATTGATTAATATCTTGACTAATATTTTCGTCACGAAAATCAGAATGACCAATAACTGAAAAATATGTGGAGACTTTCAAAATAATTCCATCCGTGAAAAAAAAAAGGTAAAATTAAAGTTGTATAGTGATTTTCAATGTGCAATACCATCTCAATGCAGATCAAAGTTAGAAATCTGCAAAAATGAAGACTTTACAAATAGCAACAAATTTTACAAAATTAATCTAGACTTAATGAAACGTGGTGTGTATATAATAGACCATTTTCCGTTCACTGCGAAATCGAACGTAAAAACAGGGCAAACAAAGGTCATAGCGTCGTAGTGGGATTCGACTAACGCGAAGTATTTTGGGGGACATTTCCATGTTTAATAATGTGCTGTCCACATTTGATGATAGACAATTTTGATTAAGTAAGGGTATTCGGAAGCAATATTCCTCTGTCGAAGATCGGCCGGTCGGTGTGAGTTACGAAATAAAGAAATTCTAGTTCAAAATCAAATCGTTCGATTTTTGCGGCAGACGTTCGACGCGCGTTTTTCATCTCGCGAGATCTCGCAGTTGTACGGAAAATCCCTTATTGTAGACTTGTATTTTATCATCTAGTTATAGTATATGTTACTGAAGACTTCTTCTACATGGAGTTGGCAGCAATTGATATCCACACAAGAGTGTATTATAAACTTCGTTGTTTGATACGCAGCCCTTCTCAATCTGTTCTTCAATATCATCTAACCATATTCTCCTTGGTCAGTATTAGCGGATCCTTTACTCCACCATGACTGTATCAACAGTTTTAGAAGGATTTTCGAGTGTACATCTTCCAAATCACTGTGCTATAATTACTTTAAGTTTCTATAGAATTTAAACATACCTGCTCTTCCTTCAACTGCCCGGAACAACTGCTCTTCACCTGTGAGAAAAAAATAATAATGTCCAAATGTTACTAACTGTTAGTTTCCATTTATTTTCTATTTTAGAAATGAACATTGACATACCAAAGATCACCATTATTTCCCTTATTTACCACTGAACATACTTTTAGTTTGGTTATTTTGGAATGACTTATGTATATGTCTAATGATTATGGGAGAAATCATGATGTAATGGTTTTTTCCAGTTATGAATCAAAATCATATTCATTATCTCCAATAACTGTGAATTACTTTCATTTTATAAGTGGAAAATTAATTCTGCAAATCTTGGAAAAATAACAGGATTCCATGTCTTGAAAATTTTACTAGAGGTTCTTTGGACAGGCTGCCACAGGAACGTACATAGGGCATAGAGGTTGTTTGGTCAGGTAGTCACAGTGACTTTCATTTAAAGTATATTTCATGTGTTTTCTAGGTCATCATTTAAAAATAACACTAAGCATAAAACAGACAATTAACATTACCTACAATAATTATATACCCTTTCAAAGCTAAATTTGTCTGTGGATTCTGTATTTTGTGTTTCCCTTTGAATTTATCATGACCACTGATCTTGTAATCACTCTCAGCTGTCTACCCCGGCCCTGTCTTGGTAATAATTACAGTTTGAATGGACGTGAATTTCACAAGTGTAGTTTACTTTAGACTTGGCAGAAGGCTGTCTCCTTCAAACATACCTTTTTTCATCAATCTTACAATAACAAGTACTAAAGAGAAAGTTGTTATTTCTGAAGGAGAGTGGCCTAGTTTGCTGTCTTATTTGCCACCTGAGTGTCTTCTCATTTGGTTGGTTAATTAGCCGTGAAAATTCTTGTCTAACAGCATTTGAAACATGTTTAGCTACTGTTGAACCTCTGTCTTGTCAAGGACTTATTCAAGTTAACTTGACTTTTGTATCTATGAAGAGGAAATCTATGACATTTCATAGTAGTTGTATTTCATTACTTTGTAGCACAGAATTCAATGACTGAACAATTACAATACTTGCTACAGTTGAAAATTTCGATGAAGTTCCTTTAACAATTTAAATTTAAACAGAATAGAAACAAGCAGCCTCTTGGCTGAGATAGCTCCGCTGTTAGCAATGCACATTTAAATTAAAGAACAGAAGATATCATTAGAAAATGAACAA